ATGCCAAGCAGCTGCCCTGCTGCTTACTGAAGGTCATCCACTCATACAGTTGTCACCTGACAATTGCCCACATTGCAAGATGTCACCCTACCTCTTGTTACAGTGATAACTGTAATCATTTGGACTTTATTTCACATAATACAGTGAAGGAAATGTATGTCTATAAAATAGAATTTAGTGTTTAAACAGCTTTTTATTACTCGAGAACACTTTTTATCCTCATGTGTGCAGATACTTGAAGAAAACAAGTGTGTTACAAATACAAAGGATGACTTTTATTACCTAAAGTGGATTGCCTCTTTACCCTAATAAAAAAAAAAAAAAAAGAAGAAGAAAAGGGGATAAGGAACTGCCAATGGTAACTCTGCCTTTTTATTCTTCCTGTGACCCTTTCCCATTTCCGTGGGCTTTGAAACACAATTTTAATGTAGAATCTTAGCAGGGGGAATATAAGATTTACTTCATCCTAGCTGATCATAAATACTTTCTTTTAACCTTGGGCTGAAGAATGAGTCTTGGCTATAATAATATATAAAGTGGGGGAATTATTAAGGCTAACCATTTTCATGAATACAAATTAAAACTGCTGGGACAGATTGAAAGCATTGCAGTGTAACATTCGAGCCACTTTCTTACTGTCACTGCGTGGCTTTATTTATTATTATTATTATTATACAGGATTTATATAGCGCCAACAGTTTGCTCAGCGCTGTACATTATAATGGGAGACAGTACATGAGACAGTACTGTAACAATACGATTCAATACACGAGGGGTTCGAGGGCCCTGCTCCTTGGAGCTTACAATCTAGGATATATATATATATATATATATATATATATATACACTCACACAAATATATTGTGTATATATATATATATATATATATATATATATATACACACATAGTATATACACACACACATATATATATATATATATTCTTTCAAAAGAGGAAAAAAATATGGTTGACAAAAGAAACAGAAAGAGCGATGAATCTGAAAACATATTGTATTGCCTTTCTTTGTGTCAGGCATGGGTATAAAGGTTTAGGATAGGTTTAAGGGGAAATAAATATGAACATGTTCTATGTATTACACATACCTTCTAAGCGCTATGAGCCACCAGGGGGAAAATCACTTTAGATATACAGATTGAGAATATCAATAACAACAAAAAAAAAATTACAGCACACAATAAAAAGAAAAAAATCATATATAGCTCATAAAGTTCATAATCTATTCATCTTTATGTAAGCAGATAAAAAGTGCTTCAAAATCCTCCCTTAAATTAATGTAGACTCCAAGTACACCTTACAATTAAAATGACAACACCTGTGCTACCACTTTTTAGACAGCAGCTCACTATTAAATGTTGACTGCTATCTTTAGGAAAGTCAAACAGTCCTCTATTATATAATAAAGAAAGGCTCTTACAGTAAAAAGTGACAATCTACACTTCAGAGCAGCAAGACACCATGTGAAACCTCCATATTGTGTGTTGCCCCCACAGATACATATATAGATCTTGTAAAACAGGAAGTAAACCAAAAGCAATGACACTTTCATACGGCCTATATAGCACCATATTATGTGCACAATACATCTACAATCAAGCTGGGGGTGTAACGGATGAGAACGTGAGGATGTAGTTTGGTGTTTCATCAGAAGACGTCATCCAGCGCTCCAATATTACAATATATTTGCATTTATTATATTCAACATGACTCAAAACAGCTCTCAAGACAGTGTTAGTCGTACCTTTAGGACTCTTAATGACAATCCTCAGAACTAATGTTCAAAATGTGTTAAATGCAAACAATGAAGACAACACAGGAGCTCTGAATTTATTATTTCGTAAATTGTAAAAATGCATGATCAAGGAGATTAAAGCATATTGGGATAAAACTGCCCTTATGGAATATCTATCCCTGGAGAGGATTCCTCGTGTCTTGAGAATAAAAAAGTTTCCCACTTTTGATCTGTTAATGATGATCTCAAGAAAAAGTGGATTGAAGTGTTTTCAGTTTGCTCATTTGATCTAATACGCATCATTATTGCCTCTAAAACCATGGAAATTGATACACTGCAGTCAGAGATCACTGATTTACAACAGGAGTTGTTGCCCCTTAAAGAAATCCAGAAATTTGCTGAGTTGAATAACGTCCTGCGTGAAAAAATGAATCGCACGGAAAAAGAAATAATCAGTAATAAAAAAGGAGATAATGATGCGAGACAAATTGGACTATGAAATGAACAATGTGTATATTTGGAAATGCAAAAAGGTTTGGGGCCGCCACAAACAGCCATATAATAAGCGAGAGAGCTTTTCAGATCCAGAAACGGATTAAGCAGAGCAGACCATGGCAATGACAGTATCTGGTTCATCTTCTTCTGAATAACCACATACTTCTAGAGCAGCTAGTACTCAATTCCTCTAAAAAATGACACAACAACACACAAAGAAGAAAAAGAAGGGACACAACAGAAATATAAAAAGATCTGGAGAGGAGGGAGGAGGAATCGACAATGGACATTTAGACTGATATCCTCTCAGAACACATCCACGCAAGAAATAGCCAATGCATCTAGTATAATAAAAACAAAATGATGTTGCGCTACTCACAATCCATAATTCACAAATTTAAATTAGTATAATCAAAAAAGTGGAGACATTATATACAGTGACACAATGTTCAAACAAAAAACCATGTGATAAGATCCTCATGGGGTCTTTATCAAATATCTCAATCGTGATATGATCCTAATCGGATCAACAAGTGAATGAAGAAGTGAAAAATGCACAACCACACAAATAGCAATAAGTAATATATAAAACCATATATACAATAAGTAAATATAAAAAGTGAATAAATCCTAAGCAGGATAGAATGGTGATGATGAATAATACTCCCACTGGGACTTAAAGGTGGTAAGTCCACATAAACTTGGACTCAGCTGCAAAATAAACTAATAAAGTGACAAACAAATGTGCATATAAAAAAATGCAAAATATGATATAATAGTCACGTATCAGGTGATATATCTATACAGATATCAAAATGCAAATCAAAGAAAAAAAACATAATATGCAATAGTGAAAAAAGTCCGTGTAATACAGCTTCAAGTGTGTGGCAAACTGCACACCAAGGAATAACACACAAAAAATATGTGAACCAAAGTCCAAAATGGTGCTATCCGCACCACTTACTCCAAACCCAGATGAACACTCATGCCTGTGTTTGGTGACTGTGGGTAACCACAAAAAAATCCAATAGTGGCAAGATTAGCCTCTCACCTTATTGCTTCGACCGCAAGGATCAACTTATGGGATCACAACATCAGATCCTCCATGCATATGATTCCTCTGCTACTCAGACCTCTCCCTGCAAACGATCTCCCTCTCTGGGGTATGCGTTATGGTGGCGGTATCCTCTCCAGGTATACGGTTTGGGGTGTGAGCCAATATCTGATCACATCTCATCAAACCCAAATACCGTATGGATTTGGCTACTTTGTGCAATCAATGTTGCTCCTTGATCTGTTATCTCCTTACACCATCCAATGTCCACCGTCTCTATCGTGTTGCTGTACTGTCCAATGGCTATCAAAGCTTTTTGCTGCTCTTGATTCCTTCACGTGTGTTTGTCTGTGCTCACCTGGTGACAGTGATTTACACATATATATTGTACATTCACATCAGTCCCTAACCCTCAAGGGGTGTACAATCTAAGGTCCCTAACTCACATTCATACATACACATACTAGGGCCAATTTAGACAAAATCCAATTAACCTACCAGCATGACTTTGGAGTGTAGAAACACACGCAGGCAAAGACAGAACATGCAAACTCTAGGCAGGTGGTGCCATGGCTGGGATTCAAACCAACGACCCTAGTACTGCCAGGCAGAAGTGCTAACCATTCAGCCACTGTGCTCCCAATCTTTCCATTAAAGTTTTCCTAAACCCCGGACCCTGCATTCACTATATCTGGTCTCCCACAGTACACAGAACATGGAAATGCAATTATTTTAGTAAATGTAAACTGCTAAATACCTTTTCACATCAGCAGCATATAGCAGTCTTGTGATTTCAGCTGAGCACTGGTTAAAGCTTGTAGGAAGAGTTTTCTTTCTGCTCTAGAAGGATGTAAAAACCCTAACCTTAGTTTTGATTGACCCTGTGCTGATCACATGCACTCTCCCAAGAAAAAAAAAACCCTCTCTAGCAATACACACTAAACTGAGCATGTGCAGAAGGGCACGGACTCAGTCTGTCTTATCAGCGTGTACATTTGAACAAGAGGAGGGGCAGAAAAGTCAGAATCAAACATCCTTTTTACACAATGCAGAGGATTAACCCCTTAGGTTCCACAATGAGTATAACAAGCATGCTTCACTGCATATAGAGACTGATTTTACTGTTGTGGGTTTAGTAACACTTTCTAAAAATATATCCCATGTGTATGAGAGGATCAATGATGCCGTGACAAATTGTAGTATTCAGAAAAGTAAAAAAAACAGCACTATGTTAAATATTGGATAAAGTAGCCCAAACTGTAGTTCTACCACATATGCAGATGTCAATCTCAGGACTTTATTAAAAGATATTTTGACATGCATAAAAAAACCCTTCGGGGGTAAATAATCCCGCAGCTTTGTAATAGCGTGTAAAAGATTTGTAATTTTTGTTATAGCGTGTAAAAGATTTGTGATTGATAAAAGCGTGTAAATCAAGTCCACATACTCCGAGGAAGGTGCCCCAGGCAAAACATGTCAGGACACATGGCATCTTTCCAGGGCACCCTGCGATTCTGATGCGCCTCTCCTATTGGTCCCAGAGAGACTGTGATCTAACAATTCACTTTTTTTTATGTCACAGGGATATTTGCAGATCAGTAAAACCCATCCATTTACTGATTTTGGGAGTCGTTATCTTGGTCATATAGACTATTATAGGCATATAAAGGACATACATACTTTTCAATGTATTGATGGATACATCAGGGGTGGACTGACCATTTGGAAACTCGGGCACTGCCCGAGGGCCCGGAGTCAGTAGGGGGCCCCATGAGATTCCCCTGGTACCTTTTTCATAGGCTTTTTTGAGTTTGAGTAAGGACACAGGGGCCCCATGATCCCATATTGCCCGGGGGCCCCATGAGTTGTCAGTCCGCCCCTGGGATACATTGTACATTGTGATTACCGCTTGAATTCTGTTGCTGTCCTGGAAGTGTATATTTGGTAAATTAACTGATATTTGGTAAATTAACTGTCCTCTGCTCTACCTCAGAAGAAGTGCGTGCGCACGGAAAGCGTCAGGTGGAGCTCAGGACGTCGTTGACATCACGCTTCCGGCGCGCCACGTGGAGGCCCGGCGGCCATCTTTGATTTTGGAAGGGTCAGTCACTCACTTGTATCTGGCACTACTGTGATACTTACCAACGCTTTTTTGAATAATAAAGCAGATTTAAAATACTACACTATGAGTTCTTCCCTATGTCTCCTGTGAGGAGCTTCTCATTTTTGCAGCCTTAGAGTGACCCTTGCACCAGTTCCAGAGAAGAGGGATTATCCACTCCACACATCTCTGCAAGGATATCTCTGGCCTGTGGGACTTCATCTTTTCCACACGAGGGCGCTTCATCTCTACATCTTCCAGCTCCTATCCAGTTTCTGACCAGAAAAAGAGGGGATTCTTCAGGATTATTTATATACATGCGTATTACCAATATGCTTCTGGTTAGTGCGCATTTCTATCATTTGCACTGGAGAACAGCGAGCAGCATTACAGGACTGCATTTTATCCATTTATGATATATATTCCATATTCCATGTTTGGTTTTATGTCTATATTACTGTCACCTATACCAGAGCAATATTGCGCAGTGCTGCATTTTAGATTTGTATATCCATTTTGGGACTTTTTATGTGTTTTCCTTGAATGTTCAGCTGCTGACACTTTGGAGCGCTCACTGTAGCCTTTCTATTTACATATAACTGACACTTTTGCAAGCCACTAATTTTACACTGTGACAACTGTTTGAACTTTGCTGCTGTCTTTGACAGCTCTCAGTTGCCCGATCAATGAACACTGTTATAAATGGCGTTTCTTTGCTCGCTCGATGGACATGGTTGTAAACTTTATACAAAAGGATGTCATCTGATGCAAACATCTGGTTTCTATCTAGCCACAATTTATACATGATGGCATTTTGCGCTGATACATATACGGCAGTCTGTATACAGGATAACTACATGCTTTTTTTTTGCAAAGCTCTCTTGACGATTGTGGTTATACAAGTTGCTAGGAAAGGTTTTGTTACTCGACAAACTGCTGGAATTCTAGCTATTGGTGCATACCAGTGGCATTGGGTTGTTGCCATCACGTTAAGCTTGCTGTTATAATTTTCAGTGTTTAGTGCAAGTAGCTAAAGCAGATCCCCCAAGTTTCTAAGATACGACCATTTTCAACATGTTACCACCCATAAAGCATGTTGTTAACCACTTCATGTCCGGACACTTTTACCCCCTTCCTGTCCAGGCCAATTTTCAGCTTTCAGCGCTGTCACACGGTCATGCAACACTAAACCCATATTAATTTTTTAGCATTTTTTTGAGACAGATAAAACTTTATTTTGGTGGTATTTATTCACCACTGGGATTTTTTTTTTTTTTTTGCTATACAAATGAAAAAGTCCAAAAATTTAGAAAAAAGGTGTTTTTCTTATAAAATTTTGCAAATAAATAATTTTTCTTCGTGAATCTTGACCAAAATGTCTTCAGTTATCTTTTTAGTAAAAAAAAAAAAAAAAAATAACCCAAATTAGTCTAAAACCAAAAATTATAATTTAAAAAAAAATGTTTTACATTTTTATTTTTTTTTTAATATTATTATTTATGGGTTTTTTTTTACATAATGTCACCCTAGCAGTACAGTGTCACCATAGTGACCATAGATAAAAAAAAAATACCAAGTGGCCCATTGATTCTGTCCCATAATCATAGTATAATTAATCCTTTAAAGGAACACATAGGCCCTTCCAAGTTCTGAAATCAGCTTTAAAGTGTTACTAAACTCACAACAGTAAAATTAGTCTGTATATACAGTAAAGCATGCGTGCCATACTCACTGTGAAACCTAAGGGGTTAATCCTCTGCATTGTGTATATAGGCTGTTTGATCCTGTCTTCTCTGATCCTCCCCTTCTATTAACCCCCATTCCCTCTGCTGATATTACAGAGCCTTGGGAGCAAGCTGCACATGCTCAGTTTGTTGTATATTGCTAGAGAGGTGTTTTCTTTTCTTGGGAGAGTGCATGTGATCAGCACAGGGCCCTCGGGCAGTGCCCGAGTGTCCAAATGGTCAGTCCGCCCCTGCATACCGCGTTTATGCGTGTTTGTGTTTAGAAGCGTTTTTTTAAAGATAACCTCAGGAGACCTTCCAAAATGCCTATAATGCACTGAAAAATAGTAAATAATTAACTATTTCAGACATTTTGAGAGAAATAGAGAGAGCAGAAGCAGAGAGAGCAGTATGTTTTGAGACAACCTGTCTTTTCTGGTTGTATTCACTATGGATCCCATCATGAGCATAATGCAGCACATTCTACCATTTTTTCCTTCATGTGAACCCTGGAACTGACTGCGCTGGTGTACCGGGTCCATTTGAATACATGGAAAACGCTTTGAATGCATTTCTGATGATGAAAAAAGGCTCTGGACAGCATCTGGATATGGAACAGTTAAAAAATGCTTTTAAACGCAAATGCTTATAAATGCGGGTATCCGCGTTTACATGTGTTTGACGTTTGAAATGCTGGTGAAATCTACTCCTGAACACAAGTTTGGTGCATTCAAAAAAATGACTGTAAACTCAACTGCCTGTAAACAACACATAGGAAAACATTAGGGAGAGTTCAGGGGCTGCTTAAAAAAATGCTGAACAGCTCCTGAACATCAGTTTAGCAGCTGCACTGTACATGAGCCCAGAGGCGGACTGACTATTTGGAAACTCGGGCACTGCCCGCGGGCCCAGGGTCAGTAGGGGGCCCCATGAGATGCCCCTGGTACCTTTTTCATAGGCTTTTTTGAGTTTGGGCAAGGACACAGGGGCCCCATGATCCCCTATAGCCCAGGGCCCCATGAGTTGTCAGTCCGCCCCTGCATGAGCCCTAAAGATTGCCAACTGCCAATGCTGGAGAAGAGGAAGGGAGACCCTGCTCATAAGAAGTTGAAGACACCTGCATTTAGGGTATCTATCCTGTCAGCTTTTTTTTTTTACTAGAGGCAGTGGTGTATTTAGGTTTTGTACTGCCCTAGGCAACACAAAAATCGTCTGCCCCCACGGACACCGACCAAGAGAGACTTCCACTACTCCCCCTAGCCCCCTGGGTGATAGAGAGAAAGACACTCATCTTCACAGCTCCAGACATCCCCGGGAATGACAGTCAGGCTCTACATACACCATCAAGCAGCTTGCAGCCTCTTTTGGATACCACCTGGTTCCCATGGCGCGCTTGTCCCTTCTTTCATCCCTTCATCTGAGGAGGGGTGCTGCCCCCCTGAAAAATGTCGCCCTAGGCAAGTGCCTTGTTTGCCTTGTGGTAAATACACCCCTGACTAGAGGCGCCCTAAACAGGAGTCAGTGTTAAATTGATGAAATCCCCATCTTTTAATTTGCTCCAAAGTTCCCTTTAACAGCTTAAGTAATAACTAAAGGCAAAACGTTCTTTAGCATTGAATAGTGTGGATAGGGGTTAGTACACATGTTGCTGTTGCTATCTGTGTCCTCATTAGGGAGATACAGTATATCCTCACTATTTGTCCTGTTTACCATTATCATAGAGGGTGAAAGCAAAAGATAATCCCAAATTTTGGGTTGTCACTAGAACAGAAACAGAGGATAAATATTCCAAAGATGTACAATAGTTCTGGTAACACTAGTAGCAACCAAGGATTCCCTCTGTTTGGAAGGATTTTCACTCATGTTCTGTTCTATGGGCAGGAAGTTAAGGGAAATCTCCCCAATGGGACACAGATAGCCAAACACCTGACAGGGGTTTTAACCCTTTCTTACTCTATCCAAAATGAAAAAAAAAAAGTTTTCCCTTTAGTTCTGCTTTAACTACCACGGTACGTTTTTAAACAGAGAGGTGATGGATGGTTATTTATCCAGAGCTGGTTATAAGCAACACTGGACAAGGCACCATCAGAAGCCTGCTGCACCCATCCTCAGTCAGCTCAGTTCATACACACACTAAATGCAGAGCCAATCCTAGTGGCTCTGTACCATGTGATTGCTGTGATAGCCAATCATGTGATCACCAATGCAAACAGTGTAAAGTCCACCCCTTTCTCTTACAAGAGAGTAGGGGAGGAAGGATGAACTAATGAATGAATGACTCATTTATTCATTAGTTCATGTTCAGCAGCTGCACCAGCTGAAGATAGCATGTATCATTTTCATCCCCCTGCATTCCTGTACATCTCAGATCCATGTGTCTGCAATAACTTGTATATTAACCCTTTCAACTCTCTTATACTAACATAAAGCTCTTCATTTCCATCCTCTCACGTTATGTGACTTGTAAATTTACCCCTTCACCTCTCTTTGCATTTGACCTATACATTAATGATGTAATGTATCTAGTGTACCATTGTCAATCTCCCCACCCACATACTAGTATGTTTGTTCATTTCAAGAAAATTATGGCAAAGAATGGGATCACCTTGGAATTTCTACTTTTCAAAAAAGGATTATTTGGGGTGTTTTCATACTTTCACAGAATTTTTACTTGATATGTTTTATAACAGAAAGTAAGCGCAACTTTTTTCAATGTTTTTGTTTTTTCTTCTTTATATAGTAAAAAAAAGAACACCATATCTGTCTCAAAGAAAATATACAAAATTCGATTGATTACTGTGTTGCATGGTTGAGTAATTGTTAAACAAACTATCCCAACCCTAAAAATGGAAAAAATGGCCTGGAAATGAAGAGGTGAAATGGTCAAAGTGGACCTCCACTCAAAAGTGAAAGTGTCACTAATCCACCTACCCACCCTTTACTCACTCCTAATTCCTCAATGGTTACCTAGGCGAGCATGACGTTGCTTGTACAGCCCCCCCCCCCCCACACACACACATATCACATTCGGCTGCCAGTCTGTCAGGGTCCTATCCACAGCAGAAGTCCTGGAAGACCGGGTATCTCCACCAGTACCCTACATGGCAGCACAAATACATGCAACAGGCCCAGTTTTGGCGCCAAATGGCCTTTATAAGGAGGCTCTTCACTCCCTCAAGTTGCTGGATGATCTCTAGCTGCCCGTACCTTGTTCCTGTTTGCTGTGTTATTGTGACCTGTGACTTCCTGATACCGACTCGGCTTGCTCTTGGGCCTATCTACTCTGCTTAACCCCTGATCTGACCTCGGCGTGGCTAACGGATACTCTCTCTCTCGTTCCTCTGTGTATGACCTCTGCTATCCCATCTGACTACATCTGCTCTGATTCCCACCTGGTACCTGACCTTGGCTTGAACCGGCTATCCAGTAATCCTCTATTCCCGGAAGGGCTTGCATACCTTGCACAGGCACCATCTGTCTGCAGACCTCATCTCAGTGCATCAGCTGTTTTTCTGAGTGGACCGCCAACAAGCACTCCTACAGGCGACCTGTGCCACTTTGGGCCAGACTCCCGCTGTCCCACTCTCAGGGGAGTCTGGAACTTAGCCACAAGGGAAGCCCTCTCTCCATTGGCCTCCATCATCAGATACCTGATACAATCTCTTTGAGCCACCCAATCTCAGGAAGTCACAGCCAACTCACAAATCCAAGATGGTAGCACCAAGGAGCCACATTAGTGGGAACAACTGACCATGAAAAGCCAGCACTGGACTCTAGGGACTGGAAAGTACCTGATTTTTAGAAGTCAGCAGCTACAACGTTTTGAAATTTTAATTTAATTGCAAAAAAAGGGTAAAGTCCTTCTTTAAGTAACTACATTAGTGCTCTTGTGTCTTCTGGCTGACCCCTTCACAAGGATTTTTAGATAGTGATTCTAATGAACTGTCATCCTTTGAGATCTTTCTGCTGCAGTACAACAATGCAGGCACATGATAGTACCTCATTTTAGTAGATATAAAATCACTTTCATTGGCCCCTTCTAGTCAAACAAGATAGTACAACAAATGTCCAACATTCCACATATGACATAAGCAATCCAAAATCACCTTGTAGCACTTGTTTCATAGCAAGCAAAATATTAAAGTAAGACATAAAGGTAAAATGAACTCTTGTCTTTTATAGAATGTACGGAATAACATTCAAAGGAAGGAGAATGGTTCATATCGACAATCACATTTTGACATTCCAGACTATTGTGTAGTAGTTTTCTGGTGCAGTCCATTTCCCAAGCTGATCATGAAGTTTTCTTTCAATAAAACACTTGGCAAGATGAGATCTGAAGAAAGCTTGTCATACTACAGAACACAATTGCTGCATTCAGTTGAAGTCTTCAGAAATATTTTACAGGGTAATAACTGGTGGAACATCATTATTGGAAGATATTAAAGGCAGGTTTTCTGGCACAAGGTTTCACTGACCATATGTTTACAAATGTCCTTTAACCAGTATGAAGAAACATTTTGGATGTAATAATGATGTTAGTTTCATCCAAAACAAACCTGAGTATTATTGTGATCTTATACCTGTCAGAGATGCTGGCCTAGCTTCAACAGCTGAAGGTATTTAAAATAGTACTAAACTCCCCCCCCCCCCCATGTTTTTTTTCCCTCTTACCGGTATTCCTGGGTTCTCTTTAAAACACATACTCAACTGCACAGAGAATCCATCCTTATGCCACTGTCTGGGTGACACTGCACTGCCATCTTGGTCCTCTTCAGTTTGCTGCCACTTCTGGGTGAAGTCAACAAGCTACTGATAATGCATTGGGCCAGTTCTTTGGCCCACATTCCCATTCTGGTTGCCCAATTGCACAGCCTCCTTGGAGATGTGATGTAGGTATCCCAAGAGGCTGCAGGACAAGGTACACAACATTCTGACCAAGGAGAGATTGCCAACAGGTGGTCCATAAGAAAATTTAAAAAAAAATAGCAAAAAGCCAATTTTGCATGGGGGATGTTTACATAGAACTAAGTCCTTGTTGTGAATTAAAGTGGTTCTAAAAGCAAAAGTTTTTTTTTTATCTTAATGCATTCTCTTAAAGCTCAACCTCTTTTGGGACCACTCATATGCCTTACATGGGAGACAAGAGGTTGACAATATTATTAATATCAAGCTGATATTTTAGACATATAGCTAAAGCAATAAGTGGAAAAAATGATTCCCTTTAAAAAGTCCTAAAGATTTACTTGTGTTGATAGAGTTTCTTTCCTCACTCTGATCTGAATAAACACCACTGCAGAGGAAATAGAGCCATGACTCCCCACACAGAAAAGTGATGTTAGATTGAGAAAACTGAAAAATTACTAAAGATACCCAACTGTTACTCGGCAGGACTCTCTATTCAGACAGTTAGGTCACCATCTGCTGACATTCAGCTAGAGTAAAAAGACGTGCGTCCAGTACACACCTTTCTGCTTAGCTGGTTTTGGGAGGTCTTTCATTTTTAAAGCTGACAGGCAAAATTACAAGGCCATTGAAAGGATCTTATAAGAGTAACATATCAAATACACATGCTACTTTGACAAATTCACATGCTATTTTGAGTCTAGTATAGCTGGTCATCTTCTCATGCTGAGGATACCTACAGATAATAGATCACCTATCCTGTCAAAATCAAAAGGATTGGGGGGATAACAGAAACAAATGATGGCACATTTACATAAATCTCACCATTTGCTCTTGAGTGGTGGATGGGAAAGTGTCTAAAGGCCAGTTTGGATGTTTCTGACTTATAGTTTCCTTTCGATAGCCTCAGTGCTGGGTGTAGCTGGTCTGCATCAAGACATCCATGCTAATAAATCAAAGAGCAATGCAACAGATTCTCTTCTTGTCTTCCCACCAGTACATACAAACCTTTTCTTTGTTCTCTCGCATCTTGCCCTTTATCTGATAGTAATAAGAAAAGCCTCATGTGTATGTCACCATTTAGTTAGGTCGTAGCCTACACAGGACAACGGTGCTTGGTAATTGGCCCAGCATTATCACATGGTGTAAGTCACATAATCCTCCATACCTGGTATTTTCTTGACTTTTGGCAGGTGTATGGCATATCAAATTGGGAAGTAAAGGGGAGCACACACTGCTGGATATTCTCAGTAATAGACAAGCTAACACAGTGATCTCCATTAGCTTTGAGGTCCTG